ATTTGACCGGTATTATGGTGGCAACTCCATCAAGAATGCAACTCGAAGCAAGCGGTCTGGAAAGCGACGCCCTATACGAAAACTTATTACCGGCCCAGAAGTACCCCTTCCTCAGGTATGGGAGCAGTTCATTACCCTGGATAAAAACAAATCCGATCTTGCAGGATTTCTTTCCAATGAGCTATTACAGCGTGCTGAAACATTGCCACCTGGGTCAACACAAGTAACTGGGGGAGGCTGCACAGGTGATGTCAACGCGAAATCAAGTAGCTTCAATGCCGACAAGTTGTCCGTTCAACAAGAAGAAGCCGATATGCGGATTGTGATTCATGCAAAGGATGCAATTACAAGGGGATATGAACGAATGGTTGTTCAGTGTCGTGATACAGATGTTTTGCTCCTACTAATCTACCATTTGGGCTGCGAAATTGAAACATGGATGGTGTCTTGAACATCAAAGAACAAGAGGTGCTTTCCGGTACATGTTATATCGCAGAAATTAACTGCTGATGTAAAAGCAAACATTCTCGCATTTCACGCTCTGACAGGATGCGACACCACATCTTCCTTTTCGGGAATAAGTAAAAAGGCATGTTGGAAAATGTTTTGTGAAGACCCTGTACTTCTATCTCCTATTGGCCACGGTGGAGATATCGGTAATGTTGAGAAATTCATGTGTGGTCTTTATGGATGCAATCCCGAAACCCATGAACCCAGTATTGATGTCTGCCGATACCGACTATTCTTAAAAGCCAGGAAGTCTTTAGAGCTGCTTCCGCCAACTAAAGATGCATTCGCGTTACACGTTAAGAGAGCAGCTTATCAAGCAATGATCTGGATGAAAGCAGCTGATGCAGATTTCGAGCCAGAGAATCCAACAAATATAGGCTGTTGGGTTATAGAGTCGTGTGTACTGAAACCAGTTTGGATGAGCAAACCATCGGTACCTGTCTCCTGTTTGCAGTTGGTTGCATGTGGATGCACTACAAAATGCAGCACATCAAGATGCAAATGTTATAAGTCTGGTCAGATTTGCATGTTTGAATGTAAATGGGAGACATCAGGATGTGCCAATCCTGTTGAGAATGAAGATGACTAAATATTGGGGAATTCCATAGTTTGCTGTTTTTGTGATTAGCCGTACATATATAAAACAAATATCGCATCAATGAGGATCTTTGGTTGTATATGTTGAAGTATGTGTTATATAGATGTGGATAGAGGTGTTTTAGGTCGAACCTTTACATTTAATTATTTGATGTATTCACTTGTGTTCGGATCAGTCCCTTCTATTGCGAAACTCAGTGCTACAATAACCAATAACTTTACTTTTTTGTTGAAATAAAAGTTTTTTGTCACCTCTTTTGCATGTTATCATTCCAGCAAAACAAAGTGTTGGTGTTAACAATATTTTTTGTGAGGTTTGAAACTGATAAATGGGAACAATGTTCGAATATTTCCATAAAACGGTTAAAATGCATCTAATGACCTTTTGATTTAATATCGTTTTTTCAACAAATAGGGGGTGACAGCCCCCCTAGCGTGTTTTGTTATATATCAAACTTTACAAATAGGATGGCTGTCGAGCATTAACAAATGTTGCCAACGCAAGTCATATTTCCTGAGATCCGAGGCAGACTATTTTGATAGAGTAGATTGGAGCTAGTTAGAGAACAGTTTAAGGAAATTTAATTTTGGAAAAACAATGACAGAGTACATTAATATGACCTACGAATATTCCAAAAGTTGTATTCTAACAAATGGCGATATGCCCACCTTTCACTTATCACACGTTCTGTAAAACAAGGATGCCCTTTGGCACCAATTTTATATACAATTCAGGCAGAGGCACTAGCCTTTTTTTGCTAATCTATGCATACCAAAAAAACAAATAACTGTTAGGAAGAATGATAAACCCTGGTTTAATTCAGAATTACGGAGGAAATCAAATAAAGGGATAGGTTACACAAACAAGCACGTAGATTTAATCGTCCATGCGACATTCTGAAATTCAGGCAACAGAGAAACAAAGTAAACAATATGAAGAAGTATGCTAAAACATCGTTTTTTGAAAATATTAACGGAATTATTGATAACTTTGCCTTGAATGATTCTAAACAATATTGGAAACTTATTCATCGACTTATTGGTAAAACAGCCAAATCAGAATCAATTCCCTCATTATATGACAGTGATATAGGTGAGTATGTGTATGCTGATAAAGAAAAAACAGATTTACTCAATAAGTTTTTTTGTTCCATTGCTAATGATATTGATGAACCAAATATCATCCCAGAATTTCCTTCAAGATGCCCTACTTCAATTGAAAATATTGTCTTCTCTGTAACTGAAATAAAGGATATTATTTTAACTTTGAAGCTAAACAAAGCTACCGCAAAAGATCAAATTAGTCATACAATGTTAAAAAATACTGCAGAAAGTGTTTGTATACCTCTTCTATTGCTTTTTAATTTATCTCTAAGTCAATGTAAGTTTCCAAGTCAGTGGAAAACAGCTATAGCAATACCTTTATTTAAAAACGGTGAGCGTTTTCTTTCTTCTAATTACAGACCTATTTCTCTTCTTAGTACTGTCAGTAAAGTGCTTGAACGAGTAATCTACAAGCATTTATTTCATTTTGTCATCGATAACAACCTCCTGTATAAACACCAGTCAGGCTTTGTTCCAGGTCATTTTACTGTTACACAATTACTAGTTATTGATTATAATATTTGTTTATTATTAGAAAATAAGCGCCAATCATGTACGGTATTTTTTGACATTTCAAAAGCTTTCGATAGAGTTTGGCATGATGGCTTAATGAAAAAAAATAAAGCATATGGTCTTAGAGGCAATATTTATTTTTTGAGAGATTATTTAAGTGGTAGAAATCAAATGGTATGTTTACGTGAAGCTTTTTCTTACACAGCATATGTAAATGCTGTTGTACCACAAGGTTCTGTTTTAGGACCATTTCTATTATTGTTATATATTAATAATATTTGTGAAAAAATATTTTCATTGTCAAGAATGTTTGCTGACGACACTTCACTTGCATATTCTTCAAATAATAGTGCAGAAATTGAATATTACATGAACCATGATTTAGCAGTTATTGATCACTGGTCGAAGAAATGGAATGTAAATTTTAATCCTAATAAAACAGACTAGTGTTTTTACTGGTCCTTTAGAAAGACTTGATGTTCAGTTGACTTTTAATAACACAACATTGACAAAAAGTGTTACACACAAACATTTAGGGGTAACATTAAATGAAAATTGCAAGTGGGAAACACATATTTTGCATATTGTCAGATCAGCCTCTAAACATTAGTCTGTTTTACGAAAATTGAAATTTACTATGAATAAAGAAATTTTATCAAAATTATACATTGTATTCATCAGAGCTATTTAAGAATATGCGAGTGAAGTGTGGGATGGTTGTAACAATGCAGATTCTAATAAAATAGAAAAAGTCCAACTGGAAGCAGCCAGAATAGTTACAGGTTTGCCTTTATTTGCTAGTATACAGTCTTTGTATAGTGAAACTGGCTGGGAAAAACTTGAAGACAGACGGAAACAAAAACAAAAGTTATTATTATACAAAATGCACCATACTTTAGGTCCTTCTTCCCTAAACATCGTACCCAATAAAGTAAATGACATTAGTAGATATAATTTAAGAAATGGTCAAGATTATGTATTACCCAAGTGTCGACTAGTTTTGTATGAAAAATCGTGTATCCCCAATACCCTGAGAATGTGGAATTCATTAGATATTTCAACTAGAACTCTAGAAACAGTGTCAAAATTAAAACATAGCACTTTTAGAAAAAACCTGTATCTAAACTGTCTGAAGCGCGTTGAATGCAGATCTTTTCAAGTGTAATTTAGTCTTATCACCAGCATGTAACTGTTCTTTCTCAACAGAAAACCACTTTCATTATTTTTTTCAGTGTAATATATACAACCAATGTCGGGATATACTTTTCAGACAATTGTCTAGATATGATATAGTCATTGATTTAGATGTACTGTTGAATGGTTCTATTAATCTGAACCAGACAGATAATGCTAATATACGGTTGTTTGTACAAGAATATATCAAACATACGAATCGTTTTGCATAATCTGCTTCAGTATCAATTAATAAAGACAAATCATCATTATTAGTCAAATGAAATGTTAAGTAGAAAATTGCGGTTTACATGCAGAAACTGGTTCCAACACTCAGTGGTATCTATTCACTATGATTTATTATACATGTACATACTTTAATTGTTAGGCATGACATTCATACTATATCTATGCCATTTTAAGGGAAATTCCTTGAACTAGTACTGATATAAGGGAAATGCATATTTCCATCTGTATACATTAATGTTACGTTTTATAAATATGTATATATTATATTTGTATCAACTGTTCATGAAATGCTGCCATACATGTATGTTACCATTGTATAATAGTTTATGGAAGAGGACGTTTCTAAGTTGTTTAACTTGTGTCCAATTCCATTTTAAAAAAAATCAAATAAAATATGTTTAAACTAAAACTGAACTCCATCACGTGGGTTGTTTACAAGAGCTGTAGGTTGTTATTCACAAATTCACCGTCCCGTAGGTTGTTCCTACCTTCTGTAGTCCAGTGGATTGTTTACACAAAGTTCCGTAGGTTGTTTACATCTTCCTTAGCCTCGCAGGTTTTTCACACAAGGTCCCGTAGAGTTCTATATTCCCGGTGTCCCCTAGAGTTCTATATTCCCGATTTCCCTTAGAGTTCTATGTTCCCGGTGTCCCCTAGAGTTCTATATTCCCGATTTCCCTTAGAGGTCTATATTCCCGGTGTCCCCTAGAGTTCTATATTCCCGATTTCCTTTAGAGTTCTATATTCCCGATTTCCCCTAGATTTCTATATTCCCGGTGTCCCGTAGATTTCTATATTCCCGACATCCCGTAGATTTCTATATTGCCAACATCCCATAGATTATTACACCTCCCCTACGCATGCTCACTGCCAGAGGTTGATGGTGACACTGCAGACGAATTGGCTGTGGTTGACACAGATTTGATGATGTTCACGATGATTAGGACCGCTGATAACAAGTAGAAACTCCCGCTCGCGTAAGAGACGTGCGAACCCCAGGACAGGACGTATTTCTCGATCGGTACCATGTTGAAAGAATGAAAAGCTTCAATGCTTAGGATGCTTTTGTAGTTCTTTTTGTAGGTTTGTACACCAAAAATAGCTGTGACGGCTGAAAGGAAAACATAATATTATTCACTGTCTGATGAAGTTTATAGTTTTGAGATGGATCCAGAGTCCTAGCACTGTTTTATCTCTGATGGAAAAAAAGATCATTTTTTTTGCCATGATGGAGCGTCCGTCGTTGATTTTGACCAAATTTAGCCTGGATAATCCTCGGGCAAAGGGAACCTTAATTTGTATAAATGAAGGCTGTTGCCCCACTGGGGCAGGGGGAGGGCCAAAATAGGGGAAATCTTTAAAATTCTTCTCCTTCAGTACTATCTAGGGATTAAAACTAAATTTAGTATAGAGCATCCTTGGGCAAAGGGGACCTTGGTTTGTATAAATGGAGGGTGTTGCCCCACTGGGGCAGAGGGGAGGGGCCACAAAGGGAAATTTTGCTTATTCTTTAAAAACATTCTCTTTCTGTACAAATGTAGGGATTTTAACCAACTTTCGTCTAGATAGTTCTTTTGGCAAAGACAATTCGATTTCATATTAGCGGAGAGTGTGGCTCCCCTTGGGGCAGAGAGACAGGGTCCATTAGAGAGAACATAGGGATAAATGTTTAAACCCGTTCTTCGGTATGAATGGGGGGGGGG